TTTGGTACTCTCTGTGCTTCCTGTACTTGGATGTTTGTTTCCTTCCTGAGGTTAGGAAGTTTTCAGCTATTATTTCTTCAAGTAGATTCTCTGCCCCTTTGTCTCTCTTCTCCTTCTGGGACACCCATAACATGGATGTTAGTGCACTTGATGTTGTCCCAGAGATCCCTTAGATTGTCCTCATTCTTTTGTTTTTTTTTTTAGATTTTTTTTTATTTTTTTCATTTTTCTCCCCAAAGTCCCCCAGTACATAGTTGTATATTTTTTGTTGTGGGTTCTTCTAGTTGTGGCATGTGGGATGCTGCCTCAGCGTGGTTTGATGAACAGTGCCATGTCCACGCCCAGGATTCGAACCAATGAAACACTGGGCCATCTGCAGCAGAGCGCGTGAACTTAACCACTCGGCCACGGGGCCAGCCCCTGTCCTCATTCTTTTTAACTCTTTTTTATCTGTTCAGCTTGGGTGATTTCCTCTAGTCTTTCATCCAGCTCACTGATCCATTCCTCTGTATTATCTACTCTGCTATTGAATCCCTATAGTGAATTTTTCATTTCCAGTATTGTATTCTTCATTTCTGATTGGTTCATATATATATATCAAATATAAAAATTTTCCAATTCTTTGTTGAAGTTCTGAGTACACCCATTCTTCTCTCAAGATCAGTGAGTATCCTTAAGACTGTTTGAACTCTTTGTCAGGTAGATTGTTTATTTTGGCTTTGTTTAGTTCTTTTTCTGGAGTTTTGTCCTGTTCCCTTTGTTAGAATGTATTCCTTTGTCTCCTCATTTTGCCTCTTTGTCTGTGCTTATATCTATGTATTAGGTAGGTCAGCTACATCTCCCAATCTTGGAGAGTTGGCCTTATGTAAGAGATGCCTTATGAGGCCCAGCAGTGTGCTTCCCTCTTGTCACCAGTTCCGAATGTTCCAGGAGTGTCACTTGTATAGGCTATGTGTGTTCTTCTGTTATGACAGAGTTGTTCTCGCTGCAGGTCCTTGGGAAGCCTAGGCTGTCTCCCTGGCCACCTGGTTGTAATGCTTATCTATGTGTGGCTGCTATAGACCTTTCAGTCACTTTATTGGGTGTGGGGAGCCCCAGCACAGTTGGCTGCAAGATCTAAGAGCACATTCCTGTTACAGTTTTTCTGCTAAGTGAGTAGGCCCACAGGGGTGGTTGCTAGGCCCAGGGGTTTACAATTGCTGTAGGCCTCCAGCCTGCAAGACTGTTGTCAGCTCTCTCAGGGTTGCAGCTGAGTGGGGCTGGCCCCAGGCAGTGGAGCACCCAATTGTTTCAGGCTTTGGAAGGTGGGGCCAATCCCCTATGTGACTGTTTGAGAAGCACAAGTCTGCTGCAGCTGTCATGTCCCACTGCCTGCAGGGCCACACACTCTGTCAACACAGTCCAGTCCTGTGCACACTGAAGTGGACACAGTCGCCCCGCTACAGAGGCCTCACACACTCCACCAATACAGGGCCACCCCTCATCCATGCCCTGCCCTGCTGAGGCAGATCCACTTGCTCAGTTGCAGAGGTTCCAGGCACCCTTCCTATGTGGGCCCACAAGTTCCCTGAGGACTTGTTGTTGGTTGGGACCAGTCTCTTGGGCAGGCTGCCTGCCATGGCTGAGCTGGATTAAATTGGTGTTCTGGTGTGGTAGACCCCTGGGCTAATAGGCCAGGGGAAGATTTCCAGTGGCATCTGCCAGTGCCTGTGTCAGCATGCCTGCACTAGGTCACAATAATGGCTGCCGCCAATGTCTCAGTCCCTGTAGAGGTCTCATCTCTCACCAGCATGCACTCAGAGCCTATAAGGTGAGTCTCTCTTCACCAGAGGACTGTGCACCTTTCTTTCTGATGATGTTAGATTGCTTTTTGAAATGGGTGAATTTGTGCATGGGCCCTTTAAGAGCAGGCTTTCCTTTATGTTCCATAGCTTTTCTAGGGGTATTCCCCATTGTAGTTAATAGCTAGCAAAGCCAGGTATTATGACACTTGTCTCAGTGGTGCTGAGTCCAAAAGCTGCCTATTTTGGTAATGCTCCCTCAGTCAGATCCCTCATTCTTCCATGGAAGGCTCTGTACCTTAAGGTTGCTCCCAACTGGCCATGAAATGTTATTGCTAAAGGTGGCCTTTTTCTTTCCAAAAAGGAATTTCTGCTTCTTCCACATCAGTCAGCACTGTCCATTGTTGTTGGAGTTCTTTTTTTATCCAGTTTTCAGTTCTCTGTTAGAGGTAATTGTTCCAAGAGTAGTTGTAAATTCATTGTGTCCATGGGAGGAGGTGAGTTCAGAGTCTGCACATGCCACCATCCTGACACCACCTCTGCAATAATTGTTAATGGATACACAATAGAGAAAGAAGTAAATTGGGACATCAATAACAGAAAATGAGAGGGGAGTAGAAAAAGCGTAGAATTTTTGTATGTGATTGAAGTTGTTATCAGCTTAAAATAGACTGTTATAAAATGTTTTATGTAAGACTCACAGTAATCACAAGGAAAAAAACTTCTAGAAGATACACAAAATATGAAGAGAAAGGAATCAGAGCATATCATTACAAAAAATTATCAAAGCACAAAGGAAGACATCAAGACAGGAAGAAAGGAAGAAAGGAAAAAAGGAACTACAAAGTAGAAAGCAGTTAACAAAATGGGAAGAGTAAGTCCTTACCTGTCAATAATTACCTTAAATATAGACTGATTAAATTCTCCTATCAAAACACATAGAGGGACAGTGGGTGAAAAAACAAGATACCACAGTATCTATAAGTGACTCATTTTAGCTTTAAGGCACATAGACAAGACATGGAAACAACTTAAGTGTCTATCAACAGATGAATAGATTAAAAACATGTGGCTCACATATGCACGTGAACCCATGTATGCAAGAACGTGCGTGCGCATGCATGTGTGCGCGCACACACACGCGCACACACACACAGAGGAATATTATATAGCCTTAAAAAAGGAGGAAATCCTGCCACTTTTGACAACATGGATGAACCTGGAGGGCATTGTGTTAAATTAAATAAGCCAAACATAGAAAGGCAAATACTGCATGATCTCACTTAGATGTAGAACCTAAAATAGTCAATCTCAGAAAAGCAGAGAGTAGAATGGTGTTTGCCAGGGGCTGGTGGGTGGGGAAAATGGGGAGACATTTGTTAAAGGGGACAAAGGCTCAGTTATGTGGGAGAATTATGTGAATAAGTTCTGGAGATGTAATGTACAACATGGTGACTATAGTTAATAACACCACACTCTATACTTGAAATTTGCTAAGAGAGTAGGTCTTAAGTTTTCTCACTGCCAAAAAAAAAAACAGAAGAAGAAATCGCAACTATATGAGATTAGCTTTATTGTAGTAATCCTTTCACAATATATGCATACATATATCAAAACATCACATTGTATACCTTAAGTATATATAAGTTTTACTTGTCAAGTATACCTTAATAAAGATGGAAATAACCAATCTAAATACTGCTAGAGCTAATTAATTTGTGTTTGTAAAGGGTTTTGAGATCTAAAATGGAAAATAGTTACAGAGAACAAAATATCACTACAACAATTTATTTGTATCCTGTTATTTAATGTTATTTTATGGCTGGGGTTCTATAATTTATTATCATAAGGTGAAGGAGAGCTCATTGCCTGCCAAAATGAAAATATACAGTAGATACAGCAATATATCTATTACACGTATTTTAATAGGGAGCCGCCTGCTTGCATTTATCACTTGTGTTATGTGAGGGTGAGTTATGAGACCTCACAAAAAAAAGGTGTATCTCTTTTTATGCCCTCATAATTTAGAATTAGTGGCTGAGTGGATTTTGGAGAAATCCTCTCTCTCACACACACACAAAATATTAAGACTCAGATGAGCTCAGGGATTTGAACAACTAGAGCAATTTCCCTGCCTAGGGGTGTATTGAAGAGAACTAACAAGAAAGTACATGTGAAGAAGAGGAAGCTCTAAGTTTTGTCTTTGTTGCTGTGGTCTAGTGGTGTAAGCTGAAGACCCCCAAACTAAAAGGAATGTTTTGGTGTGTCATCCTACTTAAATAGGGAGCTCATTTTTATTTTTACTGGTGGATTCATGCATTATTCGCATTTTATAGGTTGAAAAACTGAGCTAAAGGGAGATTATTCATCTGACATCTGATGGAGAAATTGCTTCAGCTCTCACCACCTTAGCACTGATCCTTGAGAATAATGGCCACTGCAGTTTACTGAGTATTAACCATGTAAATTACATAGCACAGAGTCTGGCACATGGTGACCAGGTTGCTGCTGTGTCAGACTCTGTGCTGGCAGCTTTACTTGGATTATTTCATTTGATCCTGACATTAGCCTTAAGAGGTCTTAGTTTCCATTTTAGAGACCAGGCACAGAGAGGTTAAGTTCGTCAGTGATGGATCAGGATGCAAACTCATGTCCCTCTGATTCCAAAGTCTGTGCCATTAACCACTGACTCTCTAGTGCTATCTAATATAGTAGCCACTAGCCACTTGAAATGTGGCTAGTCAGAATTACGGTACAGAATTTGCTGTGAGGGTAAAATACATACTGGATTTCGAAGACAGTACAAAATAAACAAAGTAAAATATCTCAGTAATATTTTAAAAAATTGATTACATGCTGAACTGATAATATTTTGGATAAATTGAGTTAAATAAAAATAAATTATTAAATTAATTTGATCTACTTCTTTAAAAATTTTTTAATGTGGCTACTAGAAAATTTAAAATTTTATATGTGGCACACACTGTATTTCTCTTGGACGGCACTGCCAGACCGTGTTGTAACTGTCCCCTTGTGCTTCTTACCACAGTTGTCTGCCCACAGTAAGCACTCTGCATGTTCTGACTCATCCATGATTTATGCAAGCATGGTTAGAAGCCAAAAAAGAGGAAAAATGATAACATAAATTGCCAAGTGAGTCCTTTTGGCATGAGTCAAATACAGCTTAAAAAACTCAGAAGACAGACTATAAATTTTTATTTATACAATTTCACAGGCAATTTCCAAGGCTCAGGCCCCATCACGCCTCCTTCCCTGTCCCCTAATCTTCCCCTCCTTTCACTAACTAACATGCTAGGAGCATTTAGTTTAGGCCAGGGACTGTTCAAGGCCTTAAAAATTACAGTGATGAATAAGACCCAGTTACCAGAGAGTCCGCCCCTTAGTAGAGAAAATTGACCTATGTTAGTTTGCTAAGGCTGCAGTAACAGGGTACCACAGTGTTGCTTAAACAACAGAATTTTTTTCTCACTGTTCTAGAGGCTAGAAATCTGAGATCAGGGTGTAGGCAGTGTTGGTTTCTTCTGAGACCTTTTTCCTTGGCTTGTAGATGGTTGTCTTCTCCTTGTGTCTTCACATTGTCCTCCCTCTGTGTGTGTCTGTGTCCAAATTTCTTTTTCTTCTTAAGGAAGCCAGTCATATTGGAATAGGGACAATCCTAATGACCTCATTTTAACTGAATCATCTCTGTGAAGACTGTCTCTGAAGACGGTCACAGTCTGAGGTGTTGGAATTAGGAGCTCAACATATGAGTTTTTGAGGGATACTCTTCAGTCCATAATGTAGTCTATGGAGCAAGTGCTATGGCCACATGGAAGATGGAGTATCTGATGCTTTGTGGCTGCATGTTGAGGGTGATCAGGGAAGACCTTACATACATGAGGTGGGGATTGGTGGGCTCTTGGAGATGAGCTTTTCCTTTCCTTTAGTTCAATAAGCAGCCAGCTGTTCTCAGTACAGGTAGAACTAAATGCAGATATTGAGGGACCTGCTACATTTGAAGGTGTTCTGAGGTAAAGGTGTAGCAAGACCCTCGTGTTTTTGAGTGGCTTAGCAGAAGCTGCCTTACCCCTTGGTATGCAGAGTTGATAGTCAAGGAGGTGATGATCAACTTGTGAAGGGAGCCCAGAGTAGACAGGAAACTGGTGGTAGAGGCAGGAATGGATAACAGCCCCGTAAAATCAAATTACTTTCAAGAAATTTGTTTACACTGGTGATGAGGTTTCAACCTAAAGGGCCAAGTGTTTTTTGTTGGAGTCCTGGTTTAGCCCAGGGTGTCTTTGAAGTTGGAAGACTTTCTGGACCCACCACCTTTTGAGGATTTGAACTTTGGGAGCCATGGATGGTTGTAGGGATGTGGACCTAAAGAAGGTGCCCTGGAGGCCAAGTGCAGGGCCTATGAAGGGGCTTGGACCAGCTGAAGCATTGCAGCAGAGTGGACAAGTGTCCCTGGGGCTGTGTACAGGGGACAAATGACTGAGATGTGTACAGAGAGGATAAGTGCCCAAGGTTTCCAAGACAAGACAATGCGGCAAGGAGAGGCAACAGTAGAGGTGGAGATAGGACTCCAATGATCTCTACAGGTCTTTGGCAGTGGACTGTTCCTTCTGGGAGGAAGTAAGCCCCTTGATTTGTTAGAAGAGGTTTAAGGGGTGTGGGAAAGTCCCAAGAGAAAGATGAGTGCTTAAATAATTAACTGGAAAAAGAAAAAAGATGTGACTGTCCTTGTACCTTGAGTTGATGGAGGCCATTCCATGGGTTACAGAGTGGGAACATATGACTTGGAGTTGGAAGAACGAGTTGGAGATTTGTAGGAAGGCGAAGTTAAAGGGTGACATTCGTGGCAGACAAAAGAGCAACTGCAAAGACCTAAAAGAATCTGGTCTGTTAGAGAAGTGACTGTTGGTGCCGGCTGTAGGGTTTATGTGGGAGAAAGAGAAAGGGATAAAGCTGGAAAGGTACAGCAATTGGGCACAAAAGTTTCAGGGCTAAGCTAAGGAATCTGGATTTTATCAGATAGGTAATGGGAAGATTTGATGATGGGAGCTATGTTTCTCTAGCTGCAGGGCTAGGGAAAATGGGGAGAGGTGCTAGAAGGTGACATAGCCCCTGCTGTGAGGCTAGTCATCTCTATAATGGGGTCTGTGACGTGGGTGGGGCTGTGGCATATGATCCACTAGGCTGTTGGGAAAATAGTAGAATTCCTATTTTATTTTGCTTGTTATCTAAAAAGCAAATAAAACATTTGCTGGTATTATCTATGGAGCGACACTGGACCCTCATCTCACTTGGTCTATATGGTGTGCGGTCACGTGCCTTGTAGGACTCGAAGTACCCTGAAGCATGAGTGGAGGCTTTACCAGATGGGAGTACTGACAGTGGGGACCCACTCCCTTGCTTGTTTCTAATGTGCATACACTGTCTGATTAAATGGGTTTACTGATTATATTTCTTAGCTATATCTCAGTTAACCTGCACAAAATGGACAAATAGCTTAAGAAAGTTCTGAAATGAAACTGTGGGTTTAAGGTGGCACTGATAATGCAAACAACATGCAATGCATGGGCAGATGGTAGAGCCAACACTTCTACTTTTGGTGCAAGATCTTTATAAGATACAACATGAGGTAAAAATAGTGACAATGTAATCATCCAATACGATGTTGGCCCAAAAAATTGAAATCAAGAAAATTATTTAAAATATGAATTTATGTCGCTGTTGCTAATGTCAAAAGTTACCCTAAATACATATTGGCCAATAATGTACTCAGCAAGATATTTAGTAGAAACATTATTTGTTTCTTTATTGTATCTTTAAAAAATATCCTTTTTTGGTATGTTTTATAATATACATATTATTAGAACTATGGTATACGTATGTAACTCACAAATAAGTAAGTATAAGTAATTAGGGAATGCATGTTCAAAATTTTTACTGAATGGATTTTCAATTACAAAATTTTGGAGTTTACTGTTTTAGGTAATGAGAAAGTGAAATAAATGCATAGACTGCCTATAGATTCCTGATTGCTCTCGGATGTCCTACGAGTGTTTTTCCATCCTTTGCTAATACTCATGTGAGGATTATTAGCCCACTCTAATCTCCCTGCTTTGAACACCCTAGGATGCCCAGCATGGCCTGAAAATATAGCTACAGAAATTCTTTTCCATAACCTCCTCCCCTCCAAGAGGGGTCTAGTGGTTTTCTTGGGCTGAAGCATTGTGGGAAGTATCTTCAAAGCAGTCAAATTATGTAGCTTCAGAAGACTTGAGGCACAGGCAGAACTTGGCTGCATCTCAATAGACCTGGGCAGTTAGGGATCTCCTGGGTGCAGGCTAAGTGATGTTCCTGTCCACCACGGACAGTAACTCGGTGGGTGTTTCTGGCCCAAGTGGCCAGAGTCAGGTCTTGGGCTCAGCCTGGGTTCAGGGCACTTGGATGTTGTCCCTCCCAGCAGTTTCTCTCTCTGTCTGCTGACTCGGACTTTCTAGAGAGGACTTCTAGGAACAAGGGTGAAGCCTCTGGATTTTGACCTAGAGCCTCTTCTAGTTGGCTTCTTCCTACTCTAGTTGGTTCCAAACCAAACCTTCTTTATTCTTCCAACATGCAAAATCCCACTTTCTTTCTATCACATGATCCTTGATGAAGTATAGAGGAGCATAATGGCTCGATAGACAGATCTCCAAATCGTCAGCAGCACGTAACTTGTTTCCCTTCCTCAGGGTGAGAAAGTTTCAGTTTTTGGAAACACGATGCCATCCTTACACAGGGCGTAGGTGGAAGGGAGGGAGGAAAGATGTTTCATTCTTTCCTTTGGAGTAAACACCAAATCCCAGCCCAAAGCTGGATCAAATGGCTTTTTCTAATGTGGAAAGAAAATAAGAAAGAGTAAAGTAAGATGCATCTTATAGGAAAAACACAATTAAAAAACTCAATATACTTTTAATTTGAATTCTAGCAGATAGCCCTTCCCAATGACCCCTGGCCTCTGCCTGTTTCCTCTTCTTCTGCTCTTGCTTGCAATGGTGATATGGCCTACAGAGTCAGCCAAAATGCAGCTGGAGGCTAAGTCCTCCTTGGTACTCTGCCCTGCCTTCTCTTCCAGATAGAAGAGGGTGTGCCTTGGCACTCAGGCTGCTAGGTCTGTTCTGCGCTCCAACCTACTCCAGCAACAATCTGCATTAGTTCAGACTCTTGGTTGCAAGTAACAGAAACCAACTGTAGTTGCTTTTGGCCCAATAGAAAATTTGTTGGCTCACCTAACGGAAGAGTCCAAAGAGTGGAGCCAGACTCCTATGCAGCTGGACTTTGGGGTACATCAAGACTGAGCTCTCCTTCTCTTGGCTGTGCTTGAACCCTCTGTGGCTTCTTTCTCACAAAGCTTTTCTCTCAGAGCTCTCCAAGCCCGTATCATAATTTCAGCTCACAGTCCCAGACAAAGAAAGACGTCTCTCCAAGAATACAGATATCAAGTCACATGGAGGGAATTTGGATTGGTGTTGCTGTGGTCACCTGCCCATTCTAGAACCCATCACTGTGGTCAGGAGAATGGGAAGTTCTGACTGGCCAGATCTGGTTATACGCCTTCCCTGTGGCTGAAGATGGTTGTGTTGGTCGTGTGCAACCACCACAATGGATTTCCCATAGGAAAGAGAGGTTTTGTAATTAGAAAAAGGAATACTAGCTAGGCCAAAACAAGAGCGGTCTGCTAGAAACCCCAAATAGGGACCACTTGTGCTGCTCTTTGTTACCAGGCTACAAAGCGGTAAAGCCATGTTAATAACAACAATACTGTGAAGTATAAGAATCATGTACCAGGCATTTTGCCAAGTGCTTTATGCATCCCCACATTTAATCCTACAGCAATCCTAGGAGGTACGTAGTAGAGCGGTCCATTTCACAGTGAGAAAATGGAGATGAGTGGCTTAGCCAATGTCACACACTAGTACTCACTGTCTTACAGAGATTTGAGTAAAATAGTTGCAGTTTACTCTTTTTGCCTCCTCTTGCTCTTCTTTCTTCTCCTCTTCCTTGGTAGTGGTGTTATTATTATTTATTGTCTTCTCCTTAGTCTCAGGCATGAGTTGGAGGAGGCTGGACTTGGCTTGGAGACGTGTTCAGAGATAGACACCATGTGTTCTCTAAATCAACTCTTCCCTCGAACCCTTTCCTCAGCACCTTACACTCCTTCTTTAGGATAAGTTGTTACTGTGGGGCTCCTTGGTGACTTTGGGGTGAACACGGCTGTGGTTCTCAAGGGGACACCCTAGTCCCACTAGCTCCCACTCCTCTGTAGACTTACACTGCAGTGCTTTCTGGGCTCTGTTCTCAGTCCCGTTACTCTTGGGCTATTGTATACTTTTCTCATCATCTCCTCTTCCAGATGGGGAACTGGTGTCTAGAGAGAGGAAGTGACTTGCCCCAGGTCACACAGCTGGTTTGTGGCAATGTTGGACTTGACTTTGTCTAGTCCACTGTTACCTTCTCCATTCTCTGTGCATAGAGGATGCATCCCAGCCCTGCAGTAAGGCCCAGGAGTGAGCCCCTCCCCCCATATGTCATATTCTAATATCAAGTCCTCTGGACTTAGAATCAAAACACTCATATCTCAAGCCTGGGTTCAATACTGCTTACTGAGAGCCTTTGAATAAGTCCTTTTACTTTTCAGAGCCTCACGTTTCCCTCACCTAACCACTGGGGTAGTAATATCAGCTCTATCTACCTTAATATCTTATTGAAAGGGTAAAATCAGGTGAAATAGATGAACAGAGTTTGAAAGCTGTACTGCTGTACTGGACTCTATAAATGTTTCGTAGTATTTTAGTGTAACTCACTGTAAATCTTCAATAAATGTTTCTTATTAAATGGTTGAATGCAGGAGTGCTTCTTTCTGAAACAGCTCCTGAGCCCTGGGGTGCTATACAAATGGTATTTTCTCTGGATTTTGGTTGATAATGGTTATTCACTTGTCATTCGCAGATGGTAGTTCCAAAATGATATTTAAGTTTTCTTTCTGCAGTCCCAAGAAAGGTTACTGGGTATTTGATCAAAAAGGCACATGCAATCCATCACAATGGGGCCAATACATTTTATAGACCTTTCTTGATTAAAAAGGTTAAAGCATTTGGGAATCTGTGTGAGTCGATGCAGAGCTGTGCCCTGCTGGTGACACGACAACGAGAGCAACTGAATGAGCAAAATCTAATCTGTTCTTGGGCAGAAAGAGCTAAAACAAAATTCACTTTGTGTGTCCTTTCGGTTTTTGTGTGTCACTAAAAGCGGTGCATCTTTAAAGGGCATCGTGAGAACCCAGCTCAGGTTCAAGTCCTCTCTTGTCCCGTGCTTAGGCCTTTGTCAGTTCAGGTCTTCATTATCACCGTCAGAGACTTTAGAATCATTTCCTCCAACTGGTCCCTCTTCCTCTTCCCAGCTTTGCTTCCAAATTCTTACTGCACACTTTCATCATTTTCAAATTCTGCTCTCATCACACCATTCCATGTTTGAGAATCTTCAGTGGCTTGAAATTGTTTAAACACCTTAATCTAGTGTTTGATGAATTCCAGTGTCTGCTTCAATTTACCTTTCCAATACTTTCTCCATTTATCTTCTTTATGAATCCTCAAATCCAGAGTAACCTGGTCTGTTCTCTGAGCTGCAGATGCTCCACATCCTTTCGTGGACCTTTGCTAGACCTATTCCCCCTGCCCCGGGTGAGTACCCCGCCCCCTCCCCCCAGCTTCACCTCCATCGGCTCCTATACATCCTTAGGGATCTTCAAATTCTCCCTCCTCTCTGGAACCATTATAACAGCTACAGCTTATAGAGATTTCTCTTTTCTCTGAACTCCTATGGCACCCACTCTCTTCTATCGCAACTGCCCATTTACTTATCCACCTGTCTCTTCAACTTAAAAGGATTTTTCCATCAATTCTATAAAGTCTTTGATGTTGGGACTGTG